TCTTCCTCTCTGTCTCTTTCTCCCCCCTCCCCATCTCTTTCTCCCCCTGTGTCTCATTCTTCCCTCTCTTTCTCCCCCAACTCTCTATTCCCCCTCTTTCTCCCCCTGTGTCTCATTCTTCCCTCTCTGTCTCTTTCTCCCCCTCCCCATCTCTCTATTCCCCCTCTTTCTCCCCTGTGTCTCATTCTTCCCTCTCTGTCTCTGTCTCCCCCTCCCCATCTCTCTATTCCCCATACCTGTGTCTCAAATTTCTTCCTCTCTGTTTCCCCCCCTCTCCATCTCTCTGTTCCCCCTCTTTCTCCCCCCCTCCTATCTCTCCTGTTCCCCCTCTTTCTCCCTCCCATCCTCTCCTTTCAGTTTCCTCTTTCTCCTCCCCGTCTCTCTTGTCCCCCCTCTTTCCCCATTCCCCATCTCTCCTGTTCCCCCTCTTTCTCCCCTTCCCCATCTCTGTTCCCCTCTTTCTCCCCCTTCCCATCTCTCTGTTCCACCTCTTCTCCCCCCTCCCCATCTGTTCCCCTCTTCTCCCCCCCTCCCCGTCTCTCTATTTTACCTCTTTCTCCCCCTCCCCCAAATGTCTCTGTTCCACCCCCTCTTTCTCCCCCCTCCCATCTCTCTGTTCCCCCCCTCTTTCTCCCCTTCCCATCTCTCTCTATTCCCCCCTCTTTCTCCCCTCCCCATCTCTCTGTTCCCCACCTCTCCATCTCTCTGATTTCCCCCCTCTTTCTCCCCCCTCCCCCGTCTCTCCTGTTCCCCTCTTTCTCCCCCCCTCCCCCGTCTCTCTGTTCCCCCCTCCCGTCTCTCTGTTCCCCCCCCTCTTTCTCCCCCCCTCCCCATCCGGCTCTGTTCCCCTCTACATTTCAGTTCCCCCCTCTTTCTCCCCTCCCCCATCTCTCCTGTTCCCCCCTATCCATCTCTCTATTTCCCCTTTTCTCCCCACTCCCATCTCTGTTTCCATCTCTCTGTTCCTCTTTCTCCCCCTCCCCATCTTTGTTCTCCTCTTTCCTCCCCTCCCATCTCTCGCGTTCACTCTCTCCCTCATGGCTCTGATACCCCCCTCTTTCTCCCCCTGTGTCTCATTCTTCCCTCACTGTCTCTTTCTCCCCCTCCCATCTCTCTATTCCCTCTCTTTCTCCCCCGTGTCTCATTCTTCCCTCTCTGTCTCTGTCTCCCCCCTCCCCATCTCTCTATTCCCCCCTCTTACTCCCACCTCCCCATCTCTCTGTTCCTCCCTCTTTCTCCCCCTCTGTCTCAAGTCTGAGGGGGCTGGCCGCATTTCATGCTGGAGCCGCCGGGCCGGGTGGCAGCCTTGCCGGTCCGGCGGCATTTCTCTCACTAACGCTGAAGGAGGAGGAGCATGTCTCTCTGTCATGCTCCTTTGCGGTTCCCACATCCTGTGCTGGGAATTGTGGGAACCGCAGGGAGCATGATAGAGAGACATGCTCCTCCTCCTTCAGCGTTAGTGAGAGGAATGCCGCCGGACCGGCGAGGCTGCCACCCGGTCCGGCGGCTCCAGCATGAAACGTGGCCGGCCCCCTCACAGTGTGCCACCGGACCGGCCACCCGGTGGCACCTTCCACTGAAGTCCCCAGATGCCGCCCCCAATCCAGCCCTGCCTTGGGCCCCCTGAAGGTGGCCCTGGCGGCGGGCCCCCCTCCCGGCCGGGCCCTCGGACCATGTCCGAAGTGCCCAACCGGTCAGTCCGCCCCTGACTGTATTATTTATCATGAGTTTACCAATGAACCCAAAGCCATTTCTCAATGGCCTTACCAGCAAACCAGTCATGGTGAAGCTAAAGTGGGAACTGGAGTACAAGTGGGACTTGTTTCTGTGGATGGGTATATGAGCATGCAGCTTGCTAACACAGAAGAATACATAGATGGTGCATTGTCTGGACATCTTATGTTGTAACAATGTACTATATTTATATGGTGTCAAACAGGAGGAGGAAGATGGTGAGAATACATTTTCATGACCATAAAATAAACTTCCCCTTTACACTGTTTTAACAGGGTTCGGTTTTTGGAAAATGTGTCCTTTATTTTGTGTTAACATGTAAAATAAACTATTCTAATAAATTATAATTAAAAAAATTATATATATATATATATATATATATATATATATATATATATATATATATAAAAGCATTTTACACTTCACAACACAAGCCTGTTTGTCTGAGTCTGGGCACAGTGCTTGATGGAAAGGTATAAAGATATTCCAAACACAGATGAACAATAAAGTAAAACAAGGTAAAGTGACATCTTTTCATTCTTTCATCTATTCAATTGTAGTAGTTGTTGTTTTTTTTTTATTCACATGTGGTGCGATTTGTTAGGCACAATAGAGCTGACACAAGATTAAGGTGAAATGTACTTTCAAGGCTGTTAAGAGATTTAATAGAAATGTGCTATTTTTGCTGTGACAATTGTGTAAGATGATTACATGGAAAGAAAAACAGAGAACTCTGAGAACAGACAAAAGCTTTGAGAAATTCAGTAGCTTCCCCTCCGCCAAATCCCCGCTCAGGTCTCAAACCAGGTTTTGCTCACTTGTGCCATTACAGAGAGAAACAGTTCCGAGGCATATCAGACTAATTCCATCCATAAAGGAAGTCCAGAACCAAAATGCCGACAAGTTCTCTCTGCATGAGAAATACAGTGCTCATTGCTATTTATACACGTTCATTGTGTCTTGGTAGCAATGCGGTACTTCTTTCAATTCAATGCCTTAAAGAGCTGAATGCAAATTAGCAAGGCACATCCTTCATGAGACACCACAACATCCCTGCACAGGTTTCGGTACAGTGACTGCCACCACATACAGTGTTCTATAATGGCAGATATTCCCAGACAGCACTGTAACTATAAGCTCAGTCCCTGTTAATTTGCCCATTAGAGCCCATCTCAGCTAATCGGCTCCTGCAGAACTTTCTGTGAAGGACCCAGAGCTATCTACGTGTAATCATATCTATATCTCTCTTATCGCTTAACAGCTGGTGGAACTGTAATAAGCTGACCACTGTTGTGGTACAGCTGCTATCAGCTTAGGCATCAGGGGTTCATGGAGAATGCTCAACACATTAAAAACAATGGGAATCTTTGTACTGACTTTCATGAACTCAATGCAGAAAGCGTCATTCCCTATTGATTTGCAACAAGTCAGGAGAAAAAAAAATTTCATAGTTGAACATTTTTTTTTTAAGATAGTTTTATAAAACATTTTACATCTCTCACTATTTTACTGAAGGGGACACTGTCTGTATGAAACATAAGACCCTTTGAATACGGACAGTTTTTTTGGCATAAGCCTCCTAGCATACCAGCAATTAATTACTATGTATCATAAAGAAGATGCAAACATCAAATATAGCTAAATATAGCTATATATATATATATATATATATATATATATATATATATATATATATATATTTGTGTTAGGTGCTTAAGATAGTACAGTGTGAAATACCATGAATAAGCGTAGGATGATAAAAGGAGCAAGTCGGTTGTGGTGTGCCGAAACCGACGATGAGGTAGGCCTGAGAAAGAAGAGGGCCCACCTAGGAAAAGAAATAGAAAGGAAAATAAATGTTAAAAGTGGTGTGGTGGGAGGGTCATTCAACGCTGACCTCGAACGGTAAGGAGCCAGGCAAGGGGAGTGCCTTAAGTAGGCTAGGGGTGGAAAACCAGCACCTCCCACAAATGCAGGCAAATTGCCTTAATACTTGTGTTAGGTGCTTAAGATAGTACAGTGTGAAATACCATGAATAAGCGTAGGATGATAAAAGGAGCAAGTCGGTTGTGGTGTGCCGAAACCGACGATGAGGTAGGCCTGAGAAAGAAGAGGGCAAAAATTAAGTAATCCAATTTATTAACAGACAACCAATTTGTGTCATAACCAGGGAAAAGCCGTAAAGCGAGGACCCGTGCTGTACCGTACGCCGTGGGAACCAGTCCTGGCGTGACAGGAAGGTCTGACTTACGGTTTAGGAGTCCCTGGGACGCGATCTACAACGGAGAACGGAGTCAGAAGAAGCTGGACGGGCGGAAAGGCCTGAACAGGATTCCTGGACACAGCTTAACGTGGTGAAACCTCCTGGATACTGAAACCAAGATGGCGTCTGAGAGAACCCGGAAGTGGATCCTCATTCAACGATGACCTCGAACGGTAAAGAGCCAGGCAAGGGGAGTGCCTTAAGTAGGCTAGGGGTGGAAAACCAGCACCTCCCACAAATGCAGGCAAATTGCCTTAATACATATATATATATACACACACATACACACAAAATACAGAATCCAGCGCACTCGCTTATTCACTAAACAATGATTTCAAATCTTAGAGATTGTAATAGTTTTATTTAAAAACACCTCACCTAGGCAAAAAATGATGAGGGTTTAGTTACATTATATGATCATACATTGCATAAGCCTGCCAACTACGTCAAAGTACCCCATATTCGGCAGGTCCTATCCTAGTAGCAGCCTAATGCTTGCTCTTATGAGATTAATCCACTTACTTGGGAAATACTTCCTTACTGGGACTCTCTGCAAGTCAAGGCTAAATAGGGTCCTGGAATGAGGCACTTGTGACAGGGAGGGGTGCAAAACCAAGGATTTGGCCTGGGACTCCCAAATATATAAAAGAAACCAAGAGGGCTGCACTCACCTGAACATGCATACATTATAGGGTGCTGCTGGGGCCAAAATATACAAAATTCAGAATCCAGCGCACTTGTATATTTTGGCCCCAGCAGCACCCTATAATGTATGCATGTTCAGGTGAGTGCAGCCCTCTTGGTTTCTTATATATATATTTCATTAAGCACAATATAATTATGGTTGGGAACATGTCTTTTTGTTTTTTTCACAGAACGTTGTGTTTTTTTACAGAGCACTGATTTTTATATCCTGGTCTGAAATATCAGATATTTCAAGTGCGTGAAGTAGGTAAATGTAAAATTGTTGTACTAATGCCAACTAGTTTTATCAGTAGATCAGATATTCCCTCTTTGTGTTATTGCAGGCATAGCGTGTTTCAACATGTACTACTCACAATGTTATTTATTTTTAGAAGGCACTTTCAGATTTATTTATTTTTCACACAAAGGTCATACCAGGTAAGATAATTAATTTCAGTAGAATTACCTGCACAGGTTCCGTTCTGCTCATAGAATCCTGGACCACACCTGGAGATACAGAGGCCTCCTTGAATAACTTGCGAAGATTCCTTGCAGCTCAAGCAATCACCTTCAAGAGGCCCACGACATTGTGAGCAAGATTCATGGCACGCTACATGGGACAAAGTCAAGAAAAGGTTACAGGCAAATAATCCATGCATTATCAATGCAACAATCTATATAGATATTGCGTAGATATATACCTTTTGGAAATTGCAGACACATTGATATGTCTCCAGAAATGCAAATATATTGTAGCTCAGTTTTAAGAACTGATAAATATCCATTCAATGATTTTGGCAACTCGTAGGTAATATTTAAAAAATTATCTAGGTGCAATCCAGAATTTAAGTTCAGGGCTGGCTAATGATTGCCCAATGACTCTGCCGTTACACCTCTGATAGCACAGGGGTTAAACTCCATATGTGCAGTGTTCCAATACAAAATGCTGCATGTACAGACTCCAGGCACCTTGACCACTTCAAATCACTGAAGTGGCCATGGAGCTTGGACTACCCTTTAATCCTTCTCTGTTTATAGATTAAAGAGTCATAAGCTCATACACAGTTATCCTGAAAACTTGTTCTGCTGTCAAGTAAGGGACAAGTAACTTTGTATACTAATGCCACAGGTCACAAGATAGGGGAACTTTGGGTAGTAATGCCATAGGTCATAACACAAGTGAATGTTAAGTTCTACTGCCATAGGTCAAAACAACATAGACATTTTCTTGTTTACTTAAATACATTCATCCTGAGACCGTAATAACTCATTCAAAACATCCATAAAGATAAAGTACTGCAGTGTACATTCAGCCATACATAAAGCTATTATGCTTCACGGTGCCATGTTAACACTATGTATACATCAATAATACAGAAAAGAAGACAACCCAGGGGCAAAATAACAACTGAACAGCTAATCATCATGCTACAAACCAGCCAAGATCACAAACACATGCAGCCAGGTCTCATAATTATTATTTTTGCAGCCCCTGGGAATGATGGCACGTTTTAATCCGTGAAATCTTGTCTCATTGACTTGTCCTTAGTTAACACTTTTTTTTTGTTTCCAAACACAGACAAGAAAACACCTGCCCCAGGATGAAGAAATTAAGAAGAGAAGGTAGGGAGGGGATTTCATTTTTCTATGGAGTTATTTGAAATGAGAGCTGCTTTATAGGACCGATAACGTTGACTTGCTCTACGTTTGTTCGCACTAATATTCCTGTACCTCATTTTTATATACATGGCTACACTTTTATGTGTTAAATTTGGACGCTAATCTAAACCAAAAATATTACTTAAAGATTTTCTCCTGAAACTGCTAATATTCATTTTTAGCCATATTCACATGGAGCAGTTTACAACATCCTGGGATTTGAGGAAGGTGCAACATTGCCTAAAATGTCACTACCTTATTACCATAGTTTTAAGATGTGTATGCATCGCATTTATTCTACAATACAGGGGCACTCTATTCTAACACACCTACTTGTGTTTTATACTCCCATATATTATCTGCATATCTACAGCATTAACTACACTGCCCAACTACTGTAATAGTTCATGGTTAGGGGTAGTGTAGGAGTCACGGATTAGTGTTATGTTAGTGGAGTGGTTTAAGGCTTAATGTCGTAGTGAAGGGGTTAAGTGGTTGACTTTGGTAAAGGGCAGCACTGTAACATGAATGTCCCATTGCTGCCCAAGATGATTAAAAGTTACAGTTCCGGATCATTTTAGCAGTCACCATTAAATTAATGTTAATTGCCTTTCAGGAGTGTAATTACTAATAATATTAGGCACACACATACAGCATAACTTCAGGTTTTACTGTACCTGCATTCTACTTAAGAACACCTATTAGCATGATTTAAGTAAAATATACACACACTGTGTAACTACTGCACTTACCACAGCATTCTGCTCTAATGTAACCTGTAAAATGCTAGGTACTCCTCCTGTTATCATTATAAAACTATATGTGCATTCACTGGATAACTATTGGGCTAACTGTGCCCAAAAGATGCAGGTATAGTTAGCTCATCACCTAGTAGAGAGTTAATATCAGTCTATAAGTCCCTTGATTCCGCTTTCCTCTTGCCAGCTCGGGAGAGAGTAGGGGATCTGAATACTGTGTTTGCCTCTGGGATTTCTTTGCGTGCGTTCCACTGCGAGCTACTGTGCGTTCCACCTTCTGCATGAAGGTATTCAGATCTCCCACTCTCTACTGAGCCGGCAAGGGACTTACAGAGTGATGCTAACTTTCTACTAGGTGATGTGCTAACCATATCTACATCTTTTGTGGGTGTGTTTTAATTTCTTTTTACTTCAATAAAGTTTTACCAGAGAACACTATGTCTCTGCTTTTCTCATTATAGTTATACCCCACTTAGGATCCTGACATAGAGAATCGTACCTGGAATATACAAACATCTCAAAGCATAGAGACTTGTTAAGTTGTATTAGTGCTTATGGTATATGTCGGACTATAGCCTAATACCATAATAATTCAGCATACTTAGGAAGTCCACAGACTTTTCACCATAGTAGGGGTAACTTCGCTACATTTCTATTATTACTAATACATTGTTCAACCAAAGAGACAGTAATCAACTAACTTGCTTACGAACTACCACAAAGTGGAGAAATGTGGACATTTCAAAACTGTGCCTAATTATTGCCTATCTCTTTAGTATTTAGTAATGTTTTTAACTTGACAAAACACTATTGCACTTTATATATACAGACATTTAGCGGATATACCCCCTTTTTATAAGAAGTTGTCATTTTCTTGTTATATTACCCATCTCCTATTCCTGGTCGTAACAATGGCATAGCACTTTGCTATTTAACCTGGATTTCTTCAGCCTCGGGTGGGGGCTTTTTACATCTCTACCAGTTGTAGTGGGAGATTTGATTTATGTATTGATTTTATTCATTGTTCTTTATTTTTCTAACCTTCTGTATTAAACCTTATTGATATATTCTGTCTCCTCTCCCTATCCTGTGTCTCCCAGGTAGGTATTATACCAATATACCATCCAGGTTTTCACAAATTTTACCTTGGATATTATAATAAGTTACCTGTATTGCTTACTAAGAATAACAACTGGGTCATACAAATAACTGAGTTTCAGTGTGCGGGAAATATTATATTTTTAGTCAAGGTTTGCTAAACCATTGAAAAAGATGACACTTAATGCAAACTTAATCCTGTGTTATGGAATTTGATCCGGCATTAGCCAGAGCTGTTTTTTGTACGGATTGTTGAAAATGAATTATGGACACTCTGAAATTTGAATGCATTCTCCATTGGCTTTATATTACACAATCAGAGCAGCCAGTCTGAACTAAAACAAATTGGATGTATTCCCATGAGGGCCAATAAGCATATTTTTCCCAGATTCTCTGCTCACATAAATACAGACAGCTATGGAGTTGAAGATTCCGTTGCGAAACAAACAGTTGATCTACCTAGAACACTAGTAGGGTGTTTATTGTAAAGCGCTGTGAAATAAGCTGGCGCTATATAAATACCAATAATAATAATAGGGTGAAGATTTTTATCCACAGGATGAAAATAACATTGTCTATATACTGCTCTGAATAAACCTCATGGATAAAGCTACAATAATTACTTAATGTTTTTTTTTTTTTAAACTGAATTTTCTAAATATGGACCAGAATTATTGGTTGGGGGAAAAAACACCCCTTTGTCAGCTACACTAGCAATTGTTTGACCAAATGTTTTCATATTCAGTTTTTATTTTCCCACACTTGACTGCTTCATTAATATGTAATTGAGTATAATATTAAATTATCTTATTAATAGAAAATTAGATGTAATGCAGCAATGACTGCGTGTTTTATAAGGCTGGCTTAAACAATCATTTCAATAATCACCATGGTATATTAGACATACTATCCAAGAAAAATATGTTCCCTACACAGTTCGAGGACCAGTAACTCTTTTCGCTTTAGAAGAAACACATTTCACATTTAATTATTTTGTTGACCGCAGTAGTACAGTAAAAATCGGCTATAGTACTGTATCACATGTAATTGTAAATATATGTTAAATTTTTGTATTTGTTAGAATGATTTATGTTAGTGACTTTCACCTCAAACTTAACTTTCTTTTATTGTTTTATCTTTTCTTCCTATTTTCAGAATCCTAAACGTTTCTTCATTTGTGTTCTATTTCTCTTTAAAACATAAGACAAACGAGGGACTAGTTTGTCTTACATAGTTTTCCCACGCTTGAAAATTGTGACAAAAGAGTGGAGCTTATGAAACCATAGTCAAGCTAGCAAAGGATGACGACTGCCAAGCTCAGGAAAAATACATAAGATAAAGTATCCCCTACTTTGTCGTATGTTTTACAGAGAAATGGATCACAAATGAAGAAAAGAACAACATATTCTGAAAGAGAAAGATAAGTTTGAGGTGACAGAGCCACTTTAAGAAAAATCTAACTTGGCTGACTTTTTTTCTTTAATCAAATGTATATAATTCTCGAAGTAATATATGCAAAGGAATAAAACATATTACCTGCACAGACAAGGTGACTCTGAAAATATCCCTGGCCACAGGAAGTCACACACTGACCATTGTCCAGAT